CGCCCGACCTCTTTTTCTTTTTAAGTAAACTTTACAGAAAAATAATGTATAAAAATTACACTAATCATAAGCATGTAGCACAATGAATTTTAATATACTGATCACTTCCATGTAACAGCACCAAGATCAGGAAACAACGTCGTTAGTTCTTTTCATGTCCTCTTCTATTCCTCTCACCCAAAGAGAATCTTGACCTCTAACACCGTAAATTAAGGTTTCTGTAGAAATGAAATCCTATAATATATACCCTTATAGTTTAGTTTGCTCAGTATGTTTTAAAGATTTATCCATTATGTTGTATGATTTCATAATTTTATTCTATTGTATGAGTATGTGCAGTTTATCCATTGTACTCTTGATGGACATTTGTTTTTTTTGCAGGTTTTTGCTATTACATATGTGTTGCTGTAAACTTTCTTGTGCTTGTTTTTTAGTGAATTCAAAGTCGTAAAATCTATAACAGTTCCTTTTTCCTCTCTTTTGTCTTGTCATTTTCTTGGGTAAGAAATTTCTCCTGTTAAAAAAATTCTGGAGTTTTTCATAGCACTGTTGTAATAGCAGCTATTATATTTCTTAATATGTAATCTTGAGTCAAAATTGTTCTGTCATCTAAAAAAATTAAGTAAATAATTAAAATAATTTGTAGTGATTTTCCCCGTTTTAAAATATTTCTACAGTATCTGACTTTTTAACTGTTTCCGTTTGTTACTTTTATTATAATAATAAACATTTTAGAAAAAATAATTTTATGTAATATGTTACTATTTTGATTGCTTTTAGTTTTATAACTATGTATTATGTGTTTTAAGTGAAAGTAAATACTAATGTTCTCCTTTGTATGTTTCCTTTAATAGGTTTGATATTAAACTGCTCTCAGAATTTTCCTCTTGCCTAGCAGATCAGCGTTTGTATTTTAGTCCATTAATGGGAAAAATAGCTGATATTGTTCATAGGAACTTGGAAACCACACAAGACTTAAGGTAAATTTATTTGGGGAGTCTTGTGTTGTGGTGGAAAGATCCTGGGCTTTGGATGTGGATGCAGTCAGATTTGCTACTCTTAGTTTATGTGACTTAAGGGTAATTTACTTAAGCTCTTGGAATTTCGTTATCCTCATCTGCAAAAGAGGGAAGGTAATAGCTACTTTGCAATGTTGCTATGGGGATTAGACATAAGGTGCATAAAGTGTAATGCAATATTGTTGAGGTTTGTGGAGGATCTGAGATTTTACCTTATTTGCAAGCTAAGTTTGTCTGCCTAGGTGCTGTAGGAAGGTCTGAGACTCCGAGGTCAGAGACAGGGGACTTTGTTTTTTATAGCAATAGCAGTAGCAGAGTACTAGCATTTTCTTGTGTTGATTCCCTGAGCTCTTGTTCCCACAATGGGTTGTGTTGCAGGAGAGGAGCTCTGAGCTTAGAAAACCTGAATCTTTTATAATAAAGCATGCCTACTCTGCTCCAACAGAAGACATTGTCTCTATTCTCCTAGGCTGTTTGCTACACAAACATTCTTGAAAAGATAGTTCTGAACAAAGGCAGTCAGAAACCCACTGAAAATGGTCTCTGAATAAGTATCTAGAACATAGAAGTTTCTCAGTATTGGATAGTAGATATTATTATTATATCATAAAGTAAACCCAAGAAGTACTTAAATTAAGTATGAATTCACTGGCCAGGCGTGGTGGCTCACACCTGTAATCCCAGCACTTTGGGAGGCCCAGGTGGGTGCATCACTTGATGTCAGGAGTTCGAGACCAGCCTGGCCAACATGGCGAAAACCCCATCTCTACAAAAAATAAAAAAATTAGCTGGGCATGGTGGCAGGCACCTGTAATCCCAGCTACTCGGGAGACTGAGGCACAAGAATTGTTTGAACCTGGGAGGGGAGGTGGAGGTTGCAGTGAGCTGAGATTGTGCCACTGCACTCCAGCCTGGGCAACAGGGCAAGACGGTCTCAAAACACCACCACCACCACCAAAAAAAAAAAGCAAAAAAAAAACCGCAATAAAAAAATTAATAATTTATAATAAATTAATAAATTCACAAATTTTACATATAATTATGTCTTTCTTATTCTTTCCATCTGGGAATACTTTCTTTTCAGTTTCATAAAGGAGAGTTAATAATTGCATTTCCTGAATATCAAGGAACTATTAATTTGAAAGTAACATATGAGGAGTTTCTCTGGTTTTCATACCAGTGGTTTGTGGGTTTGTTTTGTTTTTAACCTAAGATTACTTACTGTCAATGCTCACCTTCATAATCCAGTACTGATTGTCTTTGGCATTTCAGATACAGCTTTTTCTAGCATATTTACAAAGTGATTAGCACTTTGGTAAAATTAAATTATAGTAATTTCCTGCTTTCCTTGCCCCACTCCACCCTACCTCCCTGCATTTTTTTTTTTTTTCTATTGAGATGGAGTCTCCCTCTGTTGCCCTGACTGGAGTGCAGTGATGCAACCTCTGCCTTCTGGGTTCAAGCGATTTTCCTGCCTCAGCCTCCCGAGTAGCTGGGATTACAGGCACCCGCCACCACGCCTAGCTAATTTTTGTGTTTTTAGTGGAAATGGGGTTTCCCCATGTTGGCCAGGCTGGTCTCAAACTCCTGACCACAAGTGATCCACCCACCTTGGCCTCCCAAAGTTCTGGGATTATAGGCATGAGCCACCATGCCCAGCACCCTGCCTTTTTTTTTTTTTTTTAAAATACACTTATGTGGCTGGGTGTGATGGCTCAAGCCTGTAATCCCAGCACTTTGGGAGGCCAAGGCGAGTGGATCACCTGAGGTGAGGAGTTAGAGACCAGCCTGGCCAACATGGTGAAACCCCATCTCCACTAAAAATACAAAAATTAGCTAGGCATGGTGGTGAGTGCCTGTAATCCCAGCTACTCGGGAGGCTGAGGCAGGAGAATCGCTTAAACCCAGGAGGCAGAAGTTTCAGTAAGCCAAAATCATGCCATTGCACTCTAGCCTGGGTGACAAGAGCAAGACTCTGTCTAAAAAAAAAAAAACGTGTATATATATATGTGTATATATATGTGCTACCCCCTGGCTATCCAAGTTTCTCACCTGAAGGTTGTTTTATTTTTTCAATCACAAACATTTTTTGATTTAAGCTACTTCTGGATAAACACACTAATTATGCAGGAAGATTACTATTTTTTAAAATTGAGGCTTAATTTATTAATATGTGAAATTACAAATCTTAAGGGTACGGTTCCATCAGTTGTGTCAAATATATACCTACATTAAGATAGGGAAATAGTTCCATCACCTAAGAAAGTTTCCTCATGTTCCTTCTCAGTCAGTCCTATCCCCCTACCATGTCAGCAACTAGTGTTCTAATTTCTTTCTTTTTTTTTTTAATCTTTTTTTGAGATGGAGTCTTGTTCTGGTGTCCAGGTTGGAGTGCAGTGGTTCAGTCTTGACTCACTGCAACCTCCACCTCCTGGGTTCAAGCGATTCTCCTGCCTCAGCCTCTCAAGTAGCTGGGACTACAGGTGTGTGCCACCATGCCCGGCTAATTTTGTTTTTTTTGAGACAGAGTTTTGTTCTTGTCACCCAGGCTGGAGTGCAGTGGCATGATGTCGGCTCACTGCAGTCTCCACCTAGCAGATTCAAGCGATTCCCTAGCCTCAGCCTCCCGAGTAGCTGGGATTATAGGCATGTGCCACCATGCCCGGCTAATTTTTGTGTTATTGGTAGAAACCAGGTTTCACCATGTTGGCCAGGCTGTTCTTGAACTCCTGACATCGGGTGATCTGCCTGCCTCAGTCTCCCAAAGTGCTGGGATTACAGGCGTGAGCCACCGTGCCCGGCCCAATGTTCTAATTTCTATCACCCTACCCAAGTTCTGCCCATTCCAAAACTTCATTTAATAGGATCATACAGTTTACACTATTTTCTGTCTAGCTTCTTTTACTTAGCATTATGTTTTAAGATTTATCCATGTTGTTGCATGTATCAGTAGTTTATTTACTTTTATTACTGAGTAGTGTTCCATTGCATAAATATACCACAGTTTATTTATCTGTTGGTGGACTTGTGGGCTGTTTCTCATTTTTCATTATTATGAATAAAACTGCAATGAATATCCTAATACAAATCTTTTTGTAGAGATACATATTTATTTCTTTTGCATAGCTACCTAGGAATGGAATTGCTGGGTCCTAGGATATATGTATGATTTTAAGAACTTGCCACATAATTTTCCCAGTAGTCATAATATTTTGCATTCCTACCATCAATGTATGAGTTTTAGTTGCTACATAGTCTGGCCAACATTTACGTTGTCAGTCTTAGCCATTATACTGGGTGTGTAGTGGTATTTCATTGTGGTTTTAGTGTGCGATTTCCTGTTAATGATGTTGAACATTTTTTCATGTGCTTATGGCCATTTGTATATCTTTCTTTCATGAAGCATTTGTTTAAGTCTTTTGCTCTTTTTTTTTGAGACAGAATTGCCCTCTGTTGCCCAGGCTGGAGTGCCGTGACGCGATCTCGGCTCATTGCAACCTCTGCCTCCCGGATTCAAGAGATTCTCCTGCCTCAGCCTCCCCAGTAGCTGGGATTACAGACACCCACCACCATGCCCAGCTAATTTTATGTATTTTTTAGGAGAGACAGTGTTTCACCATGTTGGCCAGACTGGTCTTGAACTCCTGACCTCAGGTGATCCACCTGCCTTGGCCTCCCAAAATGCTGGGATTACAGGTGTGAGCCACCACGCCCAGCCATCTTTTGCTCCTTTTAAACAATTGTGGGGCTGGGTGATGTGGCCCATGCCTATAATCCCAGCACTTTAGGAGACAGGAGCATCACCGGCAGCCAGGAGTTCAAAACCAAGCTGGGCAACGTAGTGAAGACTGTCTCTACAAAAAACAAAAAATTAGGAGGGCATGGTGGTGCATGCCTGTAGTCCTAGCTACTTGGGAGCTGAGGCAGGAGGATTGCTTCAGCCTGGGAGATCGAGGCTGCAGTGAGCCGTGATCATACCACTGTACTTCAGCGTAGGCGACACGATGATACGCTGTCTCAAAAAAAAAAAAATCATGGTATAGTAATTATTTTAGCTTGTTGTTTAAAAACTCTTATAGACCACTTTGAGAAGCTACATGTTTTAAAAAAAAAATCATTTTGGGCTGGGTGTGGTGGCTTATGCCTGTAATTGCAGCACTTTGGGAGGCCGAGGCGGGCAGATCACGAGGTCAGGAGTTCGAGACCATCCTGGCCAACATGGTGAAACCCCGTCTCTACTAAAAATACAAAAATTAGCTGTGCGTGGTGGCACGTGCCTGTAATCCCAGCTACTCAGGAGGCTGAGGCAAAAGTATTGATTGAACCAGGGAGTCGGAGTTTGCAGTTAGCCGAGATTACGCCACCACACTCCAGTGTGGTGACAGTGTGAGACTTCGTATTAAAAAAAAAAAAAATCATTTTGGGGGATTGATGGTTAAATTAAAGAGCAATGTTAGGTTGATAATTAATGCTAATTAATCTTGATATTAAACATTGTAACTGGAGAAGCCAAAGTATTGTACAACTGGAGATTTTTAAAAATATTAATTAACTTTATTAAAAAGATTAGAGAAATTTGGAAACAAAAAATAGCACGTCTCACTATCCTAATGGGTAAGATTATTTTCTATTATATTTTTGTCTTTTTTGTAGATTGTTTTCTAATTATCATCCCTAAATGTTTATCTTATATCTTTTCTGTTTTGCATACTTTTCATTAAAGGTGTATTCTTATAGTTTTCTGATTTTTATATTATGTAAGAACAGTCTTTTGAAAATAGGGACCACAACTTAGTAATTTTGATGTCTTCCACAGTGTCTAGAAAGGTGATTTATGCTCAAGTGCTTATTGAGTGAAGAAATGTTGAATGCCATCCCGTGTTCAGTACTGTCTTGCTGTTGTATATTAATATCAATTAAGCATAAAGTATTTAAAAATCTGAAATTATTCACTAGTGAGAAAAATTTTGCCAAGTTTTTATTAGCAAATTATAGACACACAGAGAAAGGAATAATAAAAAATGTCTACTTCTAAAAAAATGAAATGAAACTTTTAATGTTGCATTCATGCGTTGTTGGTCTAAAGTGATTTCTTTTTTTTTTTTTTGAGACGGAGTCTCACTCTGTCGCCCAGACAGGAGTGCAGTGGCACGATCTCTGCTCGCTGCAACCTCTGCGTCTCGGGTTCAAGTGATTCTTCTGCCTCAGCCTCCCGAGTAGTTGGGACTACAGGCGCCCGCCACCATGCCTGGTTAATTTTTTGTAGTTTTAGTAGAGACAGGGTTTCACCATGTTAGCCAGGATGGTCTCGATTTCCTGGCCTCATGATCCACCCACCTCAGCCTCCCAAAGTGCTAGGATTACAGGCGTGAGCCACCGTGCCTGGCTTGGTCCAAAGTGATTTCTGAATAAGTTTCACTAAAATATTTTCCACCGAAGTAGTTTTTGCTATAAAACAAGGCATTTGATGCTCTCAATGAAAAATATTACTCCCATGCCTTTTGTCTGAAAGGATTTGATTACTAAGAAATCTGAATTCAAGTACCACTAGTATTTAAAAGAAAAATTTTATGGCATAAAACTCATAATATTCTTACCACTTCCTTTCCATATCTAATTGTTTAGTTTTAGAGTTGATTATTCTTGGCTGGGTGCAGTGGCTCATACCTGTAATCCCAGCACTTTGGGAGGCTGAGGTGGGAGGATTGCTTAAGCCCAGGAGTTTGAGACCAACCCTGGCAACATAGCAAGACTCTGTTTCTACTAAAAAAAAAAAAAGATCATTTTTAATTGATGTAAAAATCTTTGCATCTGTTTTCTTTTTCAGTTCCTTGTCTGTCTTGATGGTCAACATATCTTCTTTAATATCACGACATTTTCAACAACAACTGGTGAACAAAACAGAACTTCTTTTTGACACCATAGATTCTTCTGAGGTCAACGTTGCAACAAGAATAACACGGTTTCTTCGAAATATTAAATATTGTTATCAACCATTATTAGAAAAGTGTAATAACGTATTTTTAAGTAATGTGGACCAACTTGATTTGGATTCCATCAGTAAAATACTTAGGCTATACAAGCTTCTACAGTTTAATAGTTTTGAATTTATTATGATGGCTAAAAAGAAGCTAACTGAAATGATTCCTCTGTGTAATCATCCTGCTAGCTTTGTAAAATTGTTTGTGACATTGGGACCCATTGCAGGACCCGAAGAAAAGAAACAGTAAGTTCAGTTTAAAATGCATTACTTTTTTTGTTGTGAATATGTGGAGCCTTCAAGCTTACGTCTCCTTGCAGCTCTGGGAGGTACAAATATCACCCCATTAGGTTGTGGAAGGGAAAAGAATCTCTTATGCTCTGCTCCTTGATTCTTTTTCTGATTATTCTAATTTACATCTCAAACTCTTAGTCTGTTGCTGTGTTCTGAAAGGTAAACCTCTGATACTGGGCCAACATGAAAAAAAATGAGGGGAAACGCCATGTGTTTTTATTCTCCTTTTCTATGCTACGTGACTTGGATTTACACACAAGACTCCCCCACCCAGTGTAAGTCTGTGGAATATTTAGAATTATAGTAGTCATAGCAGAGTACCATTTTATGCTTTGTTGCTTCATCGCAATAGTCATCAAAGCATTTATTATGCACTCGGCATATGTCCCCATGTCAGGTTTGAGCAAATTTTATGTGGCGCCTCTCATTTAGGAATTTCCAGTTTTGCTAGATATTGATGTAGGTAGTAATATTTGAAATATAATGATGAACAAATATTAAATTAACATACAAGTATGGTTAATAGATAAGATTCTCTCTTCGTAGGCCATGTGACTGGATTTATACTAGACATAAAATTCCCCCACCCAGCATAATTGTATGAATTATTTAGAATTACAAGCTGGGCACATTGTTGCACACCTTTAATCCCATCACTTTGGGAGGCTGAGGCAGGTGGATCCCTGGATCCCAGGAATTTGAGACCAGCCCAGGCAAGATGGTGAAACCTTGTCTGTACAAAAAAATTCAAAATTAGCCGGATGTGGCGGTGCGCACCTAGAGTCACAGCTACTCGTGAGGATCACCTGAGCCCAAGGAGGCTGAGGCTGCAGTGAACTGAGATCACTCCATTGAATTCCAGTCTGGGCACAGAATGAAACCTTGTCTCAAAAAAAAAAAAAGAATTTTATATAATAATCCTAACACATACGTATGATTAGTAGATTTACTTAAGCAGGGGTTCCAAGAGTTGCATACTAGGGGAATCATTACTCGGTTAGGAAAAACTTTATGGAGAAAGTTTTATTTTTTAAGAGTACTTTGTGACTGAGTGCAGTGAGTGGATCACGCCTGTAATCCCAGCACTTGTGGGAGGCCGAGGCAGGTGAATCACCTGAGGTGGGGAGTTCGAGATCACCCTGACCAACATGGAGGAACCCAGTCTCTACTAAAAATACAAGATTAGCTGGGCGTGATGGCGGGCACCTGTAGTCCCAGCTACTCAGGAGGCTGAGGCAGGAGAATCGCTTGAACTCGGGAGGCAGAGGTTGCAATGAGCCAAGATCGCGCCATTACACTCCAGCCTGGGCAACAAGAGTGAAACTCTGACTCAAA